AGAGGAGGAGAGGAGGGGAGGAGGAGGAGGGCCAGAGCCTTCCATCCGACTCGTGGCCCGGCCCCGCCCCGTGGTCCGCCGCTGGCCTGGCGGGCGGCAAAGGTACGCCCGCCGCGGCCCCGGGGGCAGAGCAGTCGCTGCCCGGCCCGGTCCACGGTCAAGCCTGCCGGGCGGGTGGCACAGTCGGGCAACGATAGGGGGGGATGGGCATAGGGGGGGATGCATCGACCCCCAATCGCCCACTGATCGCCGGTAGGGGGCCGAGAGCCCCAACCTGCCCAGGAAGGTGCGGATTCACCATCGGGGGCCTATCGTCGCTCTATCGGCGATGTATCGCCGATTCCAGGTCGATGCATATCCTCCTATGCCAGTCCCTCCCTACCGTTGCCCCTCATACATTCTGGAGGTAGAAGATCGACTAGACCTGCGAGCGACCTTTCGCCGGAGTGACCTCTTGGCGCGGGCCCAATGGGGTCCCCCGATCGCCGAGCGCGATGCGGCAGTGGCCTGAGTTTCGGCACCTGGCGCCCCCTTTATCCGCGCACTCGAGGTCACTCTTGCCTAGAGTTGCTCTTGCGTGTAGCCGAGAACAAGGGTGTGGTGTGAAGTGGTGCGGTGCCACTGCTGAATCCAGCAGTGCTGTCCATCATCGATGGCATTGCCAGTTCCAGGATTGGCACCACACCTTTTTTTGTGCCACACCCCTTCTCCGACCTCCAGACAGGCATGCTCTCAGAAGTCAGCTCTCAAGAGTCAGCTTTCAACAGCCCGCTCGCAAAAAATGGCGCTATCACACGTCGCGCACGAGCCCGAATAGTCGAACGAACACGGCTACGGGTACGGGTGCTAGTAGAAGTGCGGGGGGCAGTGCGGGTACAGGTATGAGAGGGACGCAAGTCTGGTCAAAGGTGGCGCGTATGGTACAGGGATGAGTATCGGTCTGGGCATGTAAGTGGGAGCGAGTGCGGGTGCTGATATCCCTGTGGGTGTGCGTGTGTATGTGTGTAGGTGTGTCTCGCGACTCACCTTTTGTCCAATGCGCATGGTCCAGGCCCGCCATCACACCCGCAGGCAGAGGGGGAATGCACCAGCGCAGCTGGAAAGGATGGGCTAGAAAGGATGTGGCGAGTGCCCCACCAGGAGGCCCCGGCTGGCCTCAGCAGGCCCCCCGAGCAGTCTGGGGCGGCCCCAGCACCCCAACCCTGGGGCGCGGAGCGTCCCGGGGCAGCTGGAACTACGCGGGGGGGCCTGCTGAGGCCAGGCAGGTCTGCCTGGGGGGCTGCCTGTGCGCAACCCGACGCCTGACCAGGTTACCCGAAGCGACACCCCGGATCCTGTCACCTCCCGACCTTTCCTCTGATCCGAGCGGCTGTCGCGCCATAACTCGAGCCCGCGGCGGACACCCTCGGAGCGCCCGCGACGAGGCGGAGCTGATGAAAGGCACTCAGGGCCTGGAAAACTGTCGAAAACGTTTGAACACGTTGTCCCCTGAGCCAATTCCCCCCGAGCCTTGAGCATCCGAATTATCCGGGATAGGCCTGGTCAGGAGAGGGAGCTGTTTGGTTTGGTGTTCCCAAATGCGATATAGACAATGGATCCGCTTGATCCGAAACAGCTCCTGTTTCGCGAGAGTACTGGACAATATCTACATGTGTTCACAGCAATACCCGCACCTGTATATTTTCATGCCCACAGCCATGCCCGTGCCAAGAGCGCTATCACACGTCGTTGTAGCCATTCTGGCTCCAGGCTATCGTTGGCTCAGGCACTCTTGGCTTGTGCATACTCCAAGAGACGTCTCCGCGCGGCGCCATGTCCTTCCACTACGGGGGACACGGCGGAGGCCTCGGTGGGGGCCTCGGCCGGGGCTACGGGGCGTACGGCGCCAGCGGTGCGTACGGCGCTGCTGGCCCTTACGGCGCCAGCGCCAGCGGTGCGTACGGCGCTGCCGGCCCTTACGGCGCCGGCGCCGGCGGCGCGTACGGTGCCGGCGGCGCGGACTGTGCGACCGCATGCTGCGCCAGCACCAGCGCCTGCATGGGCTGCGGCCCCGCCTGCGGCGTGGCCTGCGCCGAGGGTTCGGGCTGCGGCGCCGGCGGCAGCACGATTCTTAGCTACGTCGGCGCGGGGGGCGACTACGTCCAGGAGACCACCTACCGGTACGTGGGCATGGGCGCGGGCGAGTTCGGCGTGGTGCGCATCCCAGGACGCGGCCCGAGCTGCTGCCTGCTCGTGATCCCCCTGGGGCTGTGTCTGCTTCTGCTGCCTCTCCTGCTGTTCGCGCTGGCGCCGGGCTCGACGACGACGACCACCACCACCACCACCACCACGCCGTTTATTCCGCCGAGCACGGCGCCGCCCGACACCACCACCACAACCAAGAAGACGACCACCAAGCCGCCGCCCCCGCCCCCGCCGCCCCCCCCGCCGCCCCCCCCGCCGCCCCCGCCGCCCCCGCCGCCTCCGCCCCCGCCGACCACTGAGAAGAAGATCAACTGCGGCGAGGGCGATGTCGTGTCCTGGGACGTGCCCAAGAAGGTCTACTGCTGCCTGCACGAGGGTAAGGGCTGCCCGACGACGCCGGCGGCGCCCAGCACCATGCCGATGCCAGTGGTGACGACGGCGAGGAGCACCACATCTCCGTGCCCGATTGATTGCAACGCCGGCTACAACGACCTGGACCCGCTGCAGTGGGTCCGCGGCTGGTCCGGCGAGAAGAAGCTGTATTGCTGCAAGACGGCGAACAGGGGTTGCCCTTCGGAATTGCCCCCGCCCTCGGGTCTGCCGCCGTCCAACGCGCCCCCCGAGCCAGACAAGAGCGTCTACGACTGCGACGCGGGCTACCACCACTGCATGCACTGCCTGGTGCTGTCGTGGTCTCCAGCCAAGATCGATTACTGCTGCAAGACCCAGCACAAGGGTTGCAGGGGCGAGGAGCCAGAGTGAGGCGCCCTTTCCGCCCTCCTCCGCCCATGTTGGCACGGCGCGATCTGCTTGTCGCTGCATTTTTTTCTGCCGCGAGCGGTCTCTCGCTCGCGCATTTTTGTCGCTCTGGAGGTCCTGGAGGCGCGGGTGGCTCCAGAGGAGGAGGAGGAGGAGGAGGAGGAGGAGGAGGAGAAGGAGGAGGAGAGGAGGAGGAGAAGGGAGGAAGAGGAGGAGGAGGAGGAGAGGAGGAGGAGGAGGAGGAGGAGGGAGGAGGAGGAGGAGGATGCTCCAGAGGAGGAGGAGGAGGAGGAGGAGGAGGCGGGAGGAGGAGGAGGAGGATGGCTCCAGAGGAGGAGGAGGAGAAGGAGGAGGAGGAGGAGGAGGAGGAGGAGGAGGAGGAGGAGGAGGAGGAGGAGGAGGAGGAGGAGGAGGAGGATGGTTCCAGAGGATGGCTCCAGAGGAGGAGGAGTAGGAGGAGGAGTAGGAGGAGGAGGATGAGGAGGAGGGCCAGAGCCTTCCATCCGACTCGTGGCCCGGCCCCGCCCCGTGGTCCGCCGCTGGCCTGGCGGGCGGCAAAGGTACGCCCGCCGCGGCCCCGGGGGCAGAGCAGTCGCTGCCCGGCCCGGTCCACGGTCAAGCCTGCCGGGCGGGTGGCACAGTCGGGCAACGATAGGGGGGATGGGCATAGGGGGGGATGCATCGACCCCCAATCGCCCACTGATCGCTGGTAGGGGGCCGAGAGCCCCAACCTGCGCAGGAAGGTGCGGATTCACCATCGGGGGCCTATCGTCGCTCTATCGGCGATGTATCGCCGATTCCAGGTCGATGCATATCCTCCTATGCCAGTCCCTCCCTGCCGTTGCCCCTCATACCTTCTGAAGGTAGAAGATCGACTAGACCTACGAGCGACCTTTCGCCGGAGTGACCTCTTGGCGCGGGCCCAACGGGGTCCCCCGATCGCCCAGCGCGATGCGGCAGTGGCCTGAGTTTCGGCACCTGGCGCCCCCTTTATCCGCGCACTCGAGGTCACTCTTGCCTAGAGTTGCTCTTGCGTGTAGCCGAGAACAAGGGTGTGGTGTGAAGTGGTGCGGTGACACTGCTGAATCCAGCAGTGCTGTCCATCATCGATGGCATTGCCAGTTCCAGGATTGGCACCACACCATTTTTGTGCCACACCCCTTCTCCGACCTCCAGACAGGCATGCTCTCAGAAGTCAGCTCTCAAGAGTCAGCTTTCAAAAGCCCACTCGCAAAAAATAGCGCTATCACACGTCGCGCACGAGCCCGAATAGTCGAACGAGCACGGCTACGGGTACGGGTGCTCGTATAAGTGCGGGGGGCAGTGCGGGTACAGGTATGAGAGGGACGCAAGTCTGGTCAAAGGGGGCGCGTATGGTACAGGGATTAGTATCGGTCTGGGCATGTAAGTGGGAGCGAGTGCGGGTGCTGATATCCCTGTGGGTGTGCGTGTGTATGTGTGTAGGTGTGTCTCGCGACTCACCTTTTGTCCAATGCGCATGGTCCAGGCCCGCCATCACACCCGCAGGCAGAGGGGGAATGCACCAGCGCAGCTGGAAAGGATGGGCTGGAAAGGATGTGGCGCGACCCCCCTCCCCTCTCGCAGGTTAAGGCCACGGGAAATGCACAGAGTGCCCCACCAGGAGGCCCCGGCTGGCCTCAGCAGGCCCCCCGAGCAGTCTGGGGCGGCCCCAGCACCCCAACCCTGGGGCGCGGAGCGTCCCGGGGCAGCTGGAACTACGCGGGGGGGCCTGCTGAGGCCAGGCAGGTCTGCCTGGGGGGCTGCCTGTGCGCAACCCGAAGCCTGACCAGGTTACCCGAAGCGACACCCCTGATCCTGTCACCTCCCGACCTTCCCTCTGATCCGAGCGGCTGTCGCGCTATAACTCGAACCCGCGGCGGACACCCTCGGAGCGCCCGCGACGAGGCGGAGCTGATGACAGGCACTCAGGGCCTGGAAAACTGTCGAAAACGTTTGAAAACGTTGCCCCCTGAGCCAATTTCTCCCGAGCCTTGAGCATCCGAATTATCCGGGATAGGCCTGGTCAGGAGAGGGAGCTGTTTGGTTTGGTGTTCCCAAATGCGATATAGACAATGGATCCGCTTGATCCGAAACAGCTCCTGTTTCGCGAGAGTACTGGACAATATCTACATGTGTTAACAGCAATACCCGCACCTGTATATTTTCATGCCCACAGCCATGCCCGTGCCAAGAGCGCTATCACACGTCGTCTGTAGCCATTCTGGCTCCAGGCTATCGTTGGCTCAGGCACTCTTGGCTTGTGCATACTCCAAGAGACGTTTCCGCGCGGCGCCATGTCCTTCCGCTACGGGGGACACGGCGGAGGCCTCGGTGGGGGCCTCGGCCGGGGCTACGGGGCGTACGGCGCCAGCGGTGCGTACGGCGCTGCTGGCCCTTACGGCGCCGGCGCCAGCGGTGCGTACGGCGCTGCTGGCCCTTACGGCGCCGGCGCCGGCGGCGCGTACGGTGCCGGCGGCGCGGACTGTGCGACCGCATGCTGCGCCAGCACCAGCGCCTGCATGGGCTGCGGCCCCGCCTGCGGCGTGGCCTGCGCCGAGGGTTCCGGCTGCGGCGCCGGCGGCAGCACGATTCTTAGCTACGTCGGCGCGGGGGGCGACTACGTCCAGGAGACCACCTACCGGTACGTGGGCATGGGCGCGGGCGAGTTCGGCGTGGTGCGCATCCCAGGGCGCGGCCCGAGCTGCTGCCTGCTCGTGATCCCCCTGGGGCTGTGTCTGCTTCTGCTGCCTCTCCTGCTGTTCGCGCTGGCGCCGGGCTCGACGACGACGACGACGACCCACCACCACCACCACGCCGTTTATTCCGCCGAGCACGGCGCCGCCCGACACCACCACCACAACCAAGAAGACGACCACCAAGCCGCCGCCCCGCCCCCGCCGCCCCCCCCGCCCGCCCCCCCGCCGCCCCCCGCCGCCCCCGCCGCCTCCGCCCCCGCCGACCACTGAGAAGAAGATCAACTGCGGCGAGGGCGACGTCGTGTCCTGGGACGTGCCCAAGAAGGTCTACTGCTGCCTGCACGAGGGTAAGGGCTGCCCGACGACGCCGGCGGCGCCCAGCACCATGCCGATGCCAGTGGTGACGACGGCGAGGAGCACCACATCTCCGTGCCCGATTGATTGCAACGCCGGCTACAACGACCTGGACCCGCTGCAGTGGGTCCGCGGCTGGTCCGGCGAGAAGAAGCTGTATTGCTGCAAGAGCGACCTAGCGAGCTACCCCCAGCACATGGGCGTCTCCCAGTGCATGGTGGTCGTGGAGGGCCAGCGGCGCCGGCGGCGCCCAGGCTTACGGAGTGCTCGAGGTCAGAACCACACCGTGCTGGTTGAGCCAGTGGGGAACCATAGGCTCCCAGGCACGGAAGGAGGAGGAGGAGGAGGAGGAGGAGGAGGAGTAGGAGGAGGAGGAGGAGGGTGCTATCCTGAACGTGGAGGAGGTGGTGAGGGAGGAGGTGACGGAGGAGCGCGCGGCGCCGCAGGAGGTGGTGGCGCTGGATGCGGAATTCATGATGCAGCTCCCGCAGGTGCTGCTGGGGTAGTGCAGGTAATTGGAGCACGATGTCTTCGTGCTCTTCGGGAACAGTTTTGGGACGGAGAGCGCTGCGACCTCGCGGGGATGCTGGTCGCCGGCATGCTTTTCGTGATGATGATTTTCATGCTCTCCAGCTGGCTCTTCAGGCGGAAACCTGAGGGCTCACAGCGGGCGGAGCAGGAGTGGCTGCAGCGGCAGGTTTACCGTGTGCGGGCGGTGCGTCGGCGGGGCAAGTGGATCATCGCAGCGCGCGTTGCAGGCGCCTCCCGCACGCGGTGGTCGCAGCGCTTCGCACAGCTGTTGCGATTTCCCCGTGCAGACAGTTGCAGCAACTGCCCGCCGCAGCAGGAGGAGACGGCTCGCGGCGCTCAGAGGAGAGCGGAGGCAGGTAGAGGCAGGAGGAGCGTTGATGGCCGGGCCGAGGCCAGGAAGCCGCTGGCAGCCGCTGAAGGCGTTCCCCAGGTGAGGCCCCTCACGATCCTCGCCGTCCGCGGGCGGGTGGAACGCAGGAGGCGCCAGACAGGCTACGAGGATGAGGGCAGCACTTGTTTGAGACGAGCCATGCGCTTGTTCAGAGCAGGAGGCGAAGGAGGAGGAGGCAGAGGGAGACGGAGCAGCGTAGCAGCCAAGAAGAAGGAGGAGGAGGCCATGTTTCGCAGCTTCATGGCCGCTATGCGGCAGTTCATGCAGAATGGCTCCCCGCCTGCAGCGCCGCAGGGAGGGCCAGGCTTTAAGACTAAAGCAGCCCAGCGAAGGGCGGCGAGGAAGCAGAAGCGGGTGCAGCACAGGACCGGGCGCAGAACGAATGCGACCCCTGCGCAGGATTCCCCTGAGAGGCCGCAAGACTTGGTGGGCTCGCTGATCCAGGCCCTCACCAGGCACAGACGGGACGAGGCTAGAGCCCTCCAGGAGGTTGAGAGCCTTCTGAAGGGGAGGGGAGGCTCAGGAGGAGGCGGAGGAGACAGAGGTCAAGGCAAAGGAAGAGGAGACGGTCCCTCTCGAACCACCGAGGCAGGCCAGAAGCGTACTTGGCGAGTTGACCAGCGTGCCTTCCCAGGCAAAACGTTCGCTACGGCCAGTGCCGTCATGGAGGCCCTTCGGGACGGACGTGCACCAGAAAACGCAGTGGTAGTGTTGCAGCAGGAGCAGATGGAGGAGGCTATGAGGCTGATCACCATGCACCAGCTTACTACGCCCATCACACTGATCAGCACTGAGGAGCCAGACGCGCAGCAGGAGGAGGAGACAGGGGCCAAAGGACAGGAGGCCAAGGCGCATTGGAGATGGTTGCGTGTCATCGATTCCGGACGACCTGCTCTACGGTTGATCCGTTGCGCAACGCTTCACGGCGGTCCCGCCGTTCCTCCCGCCGAGGTGCAGGGGCCGAGGGCGCCTGCTGTACAAAACACGGTAAGCCTCAGAGTAACCATCAAACGAGCATACGTTGCGGAATCTGATTGGGACAGTGCCAGACTCAAGCCAGCAGCTTGGGCCACCCACTCGATGGCGAAAGGAGCCATACTTGCAGCCGAGCACTTTGAGGAGGTGGTGCGAGGAGGGCGGATCGAGTCGATCACCGGCTTTCTCAAAGTAGCTGCCAAGGACGCGGACAGCCTCACGGAGATGCACTCAGGGGAGCGTGGCGTGTTCTTGCAGCGTTGTGCTAGGGATCGCCAGGCAGCGGATCCAGACGTCAGGTGGATCAGGCGCGAGCCTGAGGAGGACAACCACGCTTACCTCGCGAGAGTTCGCGGACAGATGCCGCAACCTGCCCAGGGCCTCGCGCTACGCCAGGGTGGGGGTTCGGACCTGGGAGTCAGGGGTCTTCTCCCTGAGAGGAAGTCGCTGTCGTCGTGGCGCGTCCTGGATGTGCCCAGAGTGTGGGCGGCGGAGGACCTGAGCAACTGGCTGGCCGAAGCAGGTTGGACTGACCTGAGCGTGCTAGCTCCTCCCCAGGGGCGCGGCACGGGATGGCTGATCCGAGGCAGCCCTGGACGGAATCAGCCGAAAGTCGGAGAGATGCCAGTGGACGCGTGGAGAGTCCGTTTCGAAGCTGACAGGGAGATCCGCTACATCCAGGTGCAGCGGTATGTGCGGCAGCAGGATAGGAAGGAGGAGAAACGCCCAGCGCAGAGGAGAGCCTGGCAGTGGTGGGACCTTCCGCAAGGAGACGCGGGAGAGCAGCCGGCGGCAACCGACGATGCGCCGATGCCCCAAGCGCCTGCGGGTGCGCCCTCGGATGCCGACAGCTCCGACGCAAGTAAGGCGTACCATAAGGACAGAGCAGCTAAACGCAGTGAGAGGGAAGCAGAGGATAAGGACCTTGAGGGCATGGAGGAAGGAAAGAGACAGAAGATCATGGAGGAAAGGGCCGTAACGCGAAGGAGGGAAGACGCGCAGCTCCTGGAGGTGTACAGGGCAGCGAAGGAGGCAGAGGCAGCTAATCTCGGAAAGAAGCCACGCATTGAGGAACCGCTATCCGCTGCAGCTGCTGCTGCTGCAGAGCCTTCAGCGGCAGGTGCAACAGCCACGGCAGCCAATGGAGGAGGTGGAGGCCGAGGTGGAGGAGGAAAGGGCAGCAAAGGTAAGGAGACGCCGGAGGCCAAGGCGACAGGGCCATGGTACGGCGCCCATTTCGACGAGTACGATCCAGGAACAGGAGGGGGAGATTGCGGATACCGCGCCCTTGCGGTCGCATATTCCTTTTCCCAGGGCCGGCCGCGCGAGGACCTCGCCAAGGAAGGCAAGCTAGTGCGGCTTGCGCGCACCCTCCGGGCGCAGCTCGCCACGCGCATCGCCAGCGACGAGAAGAGGTTGCGCGATTTCTGGCAGCACATTCCGTCGCTGGACGCGACGCGGGAGGCTGGCCCGCCGCCGCAGACTTGGGAGGAGTACCTGGAAGCAGTGTCGCGCGAGCAGCGGTGGATCGACGGCGTCGCTGTCTTGACGGCGGCGGAGCATTTCAGGCGCACCGTCTACACCTACGTAGGGCACACTGATGGAGCGGGCAGAGTGGTGTGGCGGAACCGGTTCGCCTGGGTACCCAGTACCCCAGCAACGCAACGTGAAGCTGTCGCCAACGCGCCGCTGCACATCGGGGTGCGTGGAGGCCACTGCTACGTGCTAGCGCCCCGCGCGGACGTCTTGAAAACGCCAGCGGTGAAGCGCCCATCGGCGGAGGAGCTGACGCATGCCGTGAAGAAAGCTAGCCGTGTGGGCGGAGGCTCGCGCGGCAGCGCTGTGAGCGCAGATCCATGGCTTGCCCACCTCGCGTCTGGCGGCAGCGTGGCCGGTCGGTCGGAGGACTCCTGGCTTGCAGGGCTTGGCCGCCCTGCCGGAAGCAGAGGAGGCGACAGCAGCGCTGGAGGGCGAGGAGGCGGCGAAAGGCCGGGACGAGGACGAGGTGGAGGAGACCAGAGCAGTGCTGGTGGCAACAGCTATGGCAGCACAGCAGGACGAGGGAGAGGCAGAGGCAGAGGAGGAGGAGGAGGAGGAGGAGGAGGAGGAGGAGGAGGAGGAGGAGGCAGAGGCAGAGGAGGAGGAGGCACATGCAGTGGAAGTAGCAGCAGGAGGACGTCGACGCGGACAGGAGGAGACGGCAGCGACGCAGGAGCATCGAGGAAGAGGAAGAGGCAGCAGGCCGAGGAGGAGCAGGAACGCCCGGCTGGAGGAGTAGGCCGAGGACGCTTCACCAGCAGCGGCAGCAGAGACGGCCGAGGTGCAAGCGGCAATGGACCGCTGAGCGCCGGAGGTCGCGGAGGCCGCGGTCGAGGACAAGGGAGGAGGCGCGAGACGGAGGCGGGCGCTGAGAGAGCGGTCGCTGCGGCCAGGCCGGACTCGTGGCTGGCCAGCCTCGGGGGCGGCACCAGAGCAGCGAGGCAGCCTACCGCCAGGACGGCGGGCACGCGGCACGCGGAGGATTTCGCCGAGCTGGAGGAGGAGGCCCCAGTGCAGACGCCTACGTGGACGAAGGTGCCCAAAGGCATGCGCACCAAGGAGACAGACAGGCAGTACATGAGGTACTATAGGGCCAAGATGCGAGCGACGAAGGATACGTTTCGCTGGGAGTGCCCAGAGTGCCAAGTCATACTGCGAGCAGGCGACCTCATGCAGATGGCTACGAAAACGATGCATCACAGGAGGATGCATCGCCGTGCAGCTGCGGAGATGGAGGCGCCGGCAGGAGGCGACAACACTAGAGGAGCAGGAGGCGCAGCAACGGCACAAGGCAGAGGAGGAGGAGGAGGAGGAGGAGGAGGAGGAGGAGGAGGAGGAGGAGGCAGCAGCAGTGGAGGAGTCAGTGGTCGCAGGGGGGGATTCGGCCGTCCCTCCGAGGCGGTGGATGCGCTCCCTGGCATACCGCCAGAGTGCAGAGCATGGACATGCAAGCTCTGCGACCACGCCCTGCCGACCACGCTGTCCGCGAGGGTGGTCCGTGAGGCACGAATTCGTCATTGGGCACGTGCTCATCCAGACGTCCCCCTCGCCAGACTACGAAAGGAGGCGTTGCACGACAGTGTGGTGGCGTGCCAGGTCGGCAAGCGTGCGGCCCTCGTGGAGCGCATCAGGCAAGAATTGCGGGAAGCTGGGGCCGTTGCCATGCGTGTTCTCCCTGGGTCCGAGTCCGCGAAGGGATGCGAGATTACATGCGGAAGGTGCCACCGGCGCTGGCTGACCAAGCACGGCGGGAGTCGGCTGAAGCATGTCGCGCAGCATAGGTGCAAGGAGTGGCACTCGCGGGACTCCACATGGACGTTTTCTGACACGCAGCTGGCATGGAGCCGGACCACTCCAGAGCGAAAGGCTTCACCCAAGGAGACCTGGCAGAATGCGTCTCCGGAGTGGTTTCCGAGCGAGGCGCAGTGGCAGCAGCTGGACGCGTATATCCAGAACAGCTGGATGTGGTGATGCTACAGGAGATGCGCCTGACCAGTGCCCAGGAAGCTACGCAACAGCGACGGCTTCGTTCTGCAGGCTGGCGAGGCGTGCCAGGCACGGCCATACAGGAGAGCTGCAGAGAGAATGGCTATAAGCAGCGGGACAAAACTGGTCTCTGGGTCATCATGAGGCCAGGGTGGGAGATCAGGAAGATCTCGCACTTCAGAGAGGCAGGAGGGGAAACAGTGCTCCACACAGTGAGGCGCGGAGACCAGGAATGGCGGCTCCTCAATTTCCACAGGCGCGTAACAGCGGAAACGCTCAGCACCGCAAGCTTGGAGGAGTGGATCGAACGCCGTGTGGTCGAGGCTCCAGCGACCACGCCCACGCTGGTAGGAGGAGATTGGAATGATGACCCAGACGGCTCGTTCCTTGTCAACCTCAAGATGCATGGCAACCTCCGTATCCTGGCCCTGGCGGCTCCGACACGGTGGGGGGGCCAGCGTACCATCGATTTCTTCGGGGTCAAAGCTGACCGGGCTGCGCGGGGCACCGTCTGTGATGCGAAAGCCCATGTCGTCGGGGACCACAAGCTGGTCGTGCTTGAGTTGCCTGGCTTCTCCAACGCAGGCCGCCCAACCCCAGGCGGGTGGCAATGGGAGCAGACGAGCAAGCGAGTCATACCATCGAGGACGGATGAGGAGACAGCGAGGTGGCAGGAGGAGGCCGGCAGACTCTGGCGCAGGCTGGCTGATGTGATCTCGCCAAGCCCCACCTGGGAGGAATGGGGCCAGGTCGGAGAGCAAGTGCTGGACACGTTGCTGCTGCACCCCGAGCTCTGGCGCGATGCGGAGCCGCAGGAGACGCGCGCCAGGACAGAGGGAGGAGGGAACGGAGGAGGAGGAGAGAGCACAGGAGGCAGAGACAGAGGAGGAGACCATATCACAGGAGACAGAGGAACGCCAGAGGAAGAGGAGGGCCTTTCAATGAGCAGTGGCCGCGGGCAGCGCAGCAGCAGACGTGCGCCGATCTCGGAGGTCCCTGTCGCCAGCCCGCCTCGGGTATGGAAGCACGCTCGCGCTCTTAGGCGCCGCGGGGCGGAAACTGCGAACGAACCAGTGACGACCATGAGGAGCGAAGAGGCGCTGCTGAGGGAGTTGCTCCAAGCACTGCGCTTATGCCACAACCGAGTCACGTGGGCTCGGGCAGATGCGGAGCGTGCCGGGAAGGAGTGCCACAGAAGAGGCATACGAGGCACGAGGGCTCAGCAGATGACGGCAGTACAGACGCTTCTCGACCAGGAGCTTGAGAGGAAGCAGAAGGAACGCATTCAGCAATGGCGCGAACGCCTGAGGAGACAACCTCTGGGGAAACCAGTGTTCGAGTGGGTCAGGGCGAGGGCTTGGCGACCAACAGACGCCACCCTGAGAGACAGGGGGGAGGTCGTGGTTGAAGGCCAAGCTGCCGAGGCCGCCCGACGCCACTATCACGAACACTTCAAGGAGGTAGCGCGCGGCACAGACGTAGAGGCCTACGCAGAGATGTTCCGCGATCAGTTGCAGAGGTGCTGGCGCCTCATTGTGGCGAGGAATGACCGCGAGGAGGTTTGGAGGGGGCCCCTCGGCGTGCCGCGTTCGTGGGGCTCTCCGTTGCCAGCGGAGCTCCGGAGGCACATCCGGCACATGCTGGGAAAAGCTGGAGGCCTTGACGGATGGAGCGCTGCAGAGCTCTTGGCCCTCCCAGACGAGGCCCTGGCAGCTATGATCAGGATGTTCGAGCAAATGGAAGAGGGGGGTGCGCTCCCGGAAGCCCTTCGGAGGTGGCGACAAGTCCACATTCCCAAGGAGGACACGGACGTGCCAGACGTCGCCAAGCTCCGCCCCATCGCCATCTCTAGCGTGGCCTGGCGTGCCTGGGCTCGGCATCGCGCGGGACAGGTTGCCGACCACTTGAGGCCAGCGTGGCCGGACAGCCAGGGCGGCGGAGTGCCAGGAGTCGCGTTGGAATCGCTAGTTGAGGTGATGATGACAGAGGTGGACGAGGCAATCCTGGAGAGACTGGAGGCGGCGACCACCGAGGACAGCGAGGCAAGAGCAGAGGAAGGATGCGCGCCGCTCTTCCTCAGGAGCTGGGACTTTAAGACGGCCTTTGACCGTGTGCACCCTGAGCTAGTGCGACGGGTCTGGAGCGAGCTTGGGGTCCCCGAAAGAGTGACGGAGCCAATTGTGCGAGTTTGGAAGGCACAGCAACGCTGCATCGAGGTGGGCTCGTTCGTCGCCCCGCAACTCGTGGCCGCGCCGGGGTCGCTGCCGCAAGGAGATCCGCTGAGCATGCTGGCCATGGCGACAGTGCTGATGCCCGTTTTGTACAAGATCGCGGAGCAGGTGCCCAGGGCTGCGCTGTGCACATTCGCGGATGACAGGACGGCCGCGGCGCGGTCACAGGAGGAGATCGACAGCATCGAGAGCATCTGGAGGGATCTGGAGCGCGTGACAGCACTCAGGACGAACGACGCCAAAACGCAGAACTTGGTGTTCGATGCAACCACGCGCCTGCCGAATGCATCGGTCAAGGTGCTTGGGGTCCGCCTGGATGCAGGAGTGGAGCGACGCTGTGCCACCACGCCTGAGGATGAGGCGCGGGCAGAGGAGTGTAAGCGCAGGGCCGCGCGAGTTCGAGCACTTCCATTGCAGGTGCACGAAAAGCGCATCGTAGCATGCGGCGCCATACTCCCCAAATATCTCTGGAGTCGCGTGCGGCGTATTCCACCACAGAAGGAAAGGGATAGCATCCAGAAGTCCCTCACAGACAGCGTGTGCAAGAACCAGTATCCCAACGGCAGCGTGTACCTGAAGAGGCTGCTCATTGCTGGGCACAACCTGGATGTGTCATACTGGCAGGCGCGGCGATTGTGGCAGTTCGTAGCCAAGAGGTCCCGCAGACAAGGGATCGCAGCGCTGCGGGGGCAAGTAGTGCGCACCCACAGGCTCAAGGCAGCAGGGCGCAATGTCCCTGGGACCATCTCGGCGCTCCTGGACATCCTGAAGGAGCTGGGTGCTAGTTTCGAGGACGGAGAGAGTGGCGCCATGTGGGTGGCGCCAGGAGTGCGGCTAGAGCTGTCCTGTGGGCCCAAGGCAGCAGCGCACCACTTCCGGGAGCTGTGGCGCAGGAAAATGTGGCAGAGCTACGTCGACACGTCGACGCGCAGGGATGCAGCGGAGGCCCGGAGAGAGCGCGTGCCGTGCGACTCCTACGCGATGCGCGCTGCCGGGAACCTCCTGCGCAGCTCCACAGCGGAGGACAGAGCCTTGCGGCCGCACATGCTGGCCGTGCTTACCGGCAGCGTCTGGAGCGACGCCCGGTATGCAAAGATCGCAAAGCGAGAAGAACCTGGTCCCTGCGACAGGTGCAGCACAGGCGCTGTGGCAGATCAGGAGCACCAGAATTGGGTGTGCCCGGCGTTCAGCCGAGAGCGAGGGGCGGCGAGGCCGCCGTGGACGCGCTTCAGCCGAGTCATGGGCTGGCCGAGCCAACCGCTCGAGGACAAGGCTGCGCGGCTCCGCTGGGATGACCGCATCAGGGCCATGGCCAGGATCCGACGGCGCGTGCTGGCCGAGCGGTACGAGGCCCCGCAGCGGACCAGAGAAGAGGAGGAGTCAGATGTGGAGGCACCAGAGGTGGAGGAGGCCGCAGAGGAGCAGCTGGAGGCGCCAAGGGAGGAGGAGGCCCAGCACCAGCAGCGCGGGCCAGAGGCTGCAGCAGGCCCCCTCCCAGACAGCGGCGAGGCAGAGGAGAGAACGCGCAAACGACGCCGCAGCGGCGCCGAGAAGGGACGGAAGTTGAGGAGGAGGAGGAGGAGGGCGGGAGCAGACACAGAGGAGGAGGAGGCAGAGGAGGCGGAGGAAGCGGAGGAGGAGGAGGCGGACTCGTTGGTGGTGCCGGAGGGGATCCTCGCCGCCGGCCCCGCGGAGAAGGCACCTGATTGAGCGCGGCGCAGGCCCCAGGCCGGGGTGCCCGTCATCGGGCTCATGTCGTGCTTCCTTTTGTATTGCTGCAAGACGGCGAACAGGGGTTGCCCCTCGGAATTGCCCCCGCCCTCGGGCCTGCCACCGTCCAACGCGCCCCCCGAGCCAGACAAGAGCGTCTACGACTGCAACGCGGGCTACCACCACTGCATGCACTGCCTGGTGCTGTCGTGGTCTCCGGCCAAGATCGATCACTGCTGCAAGACCCAGCACAAGGGTTGCAGGGGCGAGGAGCCAGAGTGAGGCGCCCTTTCCGCCCTCCTCCGCCCATGTTGGCACTGCGCGATCTGCTTGTCGTTGCATTTTTTTCTGCCGCGAGCGGTCTTTCGCTCGCGCATTGTTGGCGCTCTAGAGGTCCGGGAGGCGCGGGTGGCTCCAGAGGAGGAGGAGGAAGAGGAGGAGGAGGAGGAGGAGGAGGGAGGAGGAGGAGGAGGAGGAGGAGGAGGAGGATGGCTCCAGAGGAGGAGGAGGAGGAGGAGGAGGAGGAGGAGGAGGAGGAGGAGGAGGAGGATGAGGAGGAGGGCCAGAGCCTTCCATCCGACTCGTGGCCCGGCCCCGCCCCGTGGTCCGCCGCTGGCCTGGCGGGCGGCAAAGGTACGCCCGCCGCGGCCCCGGGGGCAGAGCAGTCGCTGCCCGGCCCGGTCCACGGTCAAGCCTGCCGGGCGGGTGGCACAGTCGGGCAACGATAGGGGGGGATGGGCATAGGGGGGGATGCATCGACCCCCAATCGCCCACTGATCGCCGGTAGGGGGCCGAGAGCCCCAACCTGCGCAGGAAGGTGCGGATTCACCATCGGGGGCCTATCGTCGCTCTATCGGCGATGTATCGCCGATTCCAGGTCGATGCATATCCTCCTATGCCAGTCCCTCCCTGCCGTTGCCCCTCATACCTTCTGAAGGTAGAAGATCGACTAGACCTACGAGCGACCTTTCGCCGGAGTGACCTCTTGGCGCGGGCCCAACGGGGTCCCCCGATCGCCGAGCGCGATGCGGCAGTGGCCTGAGTTTCGGCACCTGGCGCCCCCTTTATCCGCGCACTCGAGGTCACTCTTGCCTAGAGTTGCTCTTGCGTGTAGCCGAGAACAAGGGTGTGGTGTGAAGTGGTGCGGTGCCACTGCTGAATCCAGCAGTGCTGTCCATCATCGATGGCATTGCCAGTTCCAGGATTGGCACCACACCTTTTTTTGTGCCACACCCCTTCTCCGACCTCCAGACAGGCATGCTCTCAGAAGTCAGCTCTCAAGAGTCAGCTTTCAACAGCCCACTCGCAAAAAATAGCGCTATCACACGTCGCGCACGAGCCCGAATAGTCGAACGAGCACGGCTACGGGTACGGGTGCTAGTAGAAGTGCGGGGGGCAGTGCGGGTACAGGTATGAGAGGGACGCAAGTCTGGTCAAAGGGGGCGCGTATGGTACAGGGATGAGTATCGGTCTGGGCATGTAAGTGGGAGCGAGTGCGGGTGCTGATATCCCTGTGGGTGTGCGTGTGTATGTGTGTAGGTGTGTCTCGCGACTCACCTTTTGTCCAATGCGCATGGTCCAGGCCCGCCATCACACCCGCAGGCAGAGGGGGAATGCACCAGCGCAGCTGGAAAGGATGGGCTGGAAAGGATGTGGCGCGACCCCCCTCCCCTCTCGCACGTTAAAGGCCACGGGAAATGCACAGAGTGCCCCACCAGGAGGCCCCGGCTGGCCTCAGCAGGCCCCCCGAGCAGTCTGGGGCGGCCCCAGCACCCCAACCCTGGGGCGCGGAGCGTCCCGGGGCAGCTGGAACTACGCGGGGGGGCCTGCTGAGGCCAGGCAGGTCTGCCTGGGGGGCTGCCTGTGCGCAACCCGACGCCTGACCAGGTTACCCGAAGCGACACCCCTGATCCTGTCACCTCCCGACCTTCCCTCTGATCCGAGCGGCTGTCGCGCCATAACTCGAGCCCGCGGCGGACACCCTCGGAGCGCCCGCGACGAGGCGGAGCTGATGAAAGCCACTCAGGGCCTGGAAAACTGTCGAAAACGTTTGAACACGTTGTCCCCTGAGCCAATTCCCCCCGAGCCTTGAGCATCCGAATTATCCGGGATAGGCCTGGTCAGGAGAGGGAGCTGTTTGGTTTGGTGTTCCCTAATCCGATATAGACAATGGATCCGCTTGATCCGAAACAGCTCCTGTTTCGCGAGAGTACTGGACAATATCTACATGTGTTCACAGCAATACCCGCACCTGTATATTTTCATGCCCACAGCCATGCCCGTGCCAAGAGCGCTATCACACGTCGTCTGTAGCCATTTTGGCTCCAGGCTATCGTTGGCTCAGGCACTCTTGGCTTGTGCATACTCCAAGAGACGTCTCCGCGCGGCGCCATGTCCTTCCACTACGGGGGACACGGCGGAGGCCTCGGTGGGGGCCTCGGCCGGGGCTACGGGGCGTACGGCGCCAGCGGTGCGTACGCCCCTCCCCCCCTCCCCCCTCCCCGCTGCTGGCCCTTACGGCGCCAGCGCCAGCGGTGCGTAAGGCGCTGCCGGCCCCTTCGGCGCGGCGCCTGGCGGCGCGTACGGTGCCGGCGGCGGCGCGGGGGACTTGTGTCTTTTTTTTATCGTCTGATTTATTTTGTGTTTCTTGGTTTTATTGTGTGAGACCGCATGACTGCGCCAGCACAGCGCGTGCATGGGCTGCGGCCCCGCCTGCGGCGCGACCTGCGCCGACTCCTCCGGCTGCGGGGCGGGCGGTACCACCGTGCTGAGCTACGTGGGCCCAGGGGGCGACTACGCCCAGGAGACCACCTACAGGTACGTGGGCACGGGCGCGGGCGAGTTCGGCGTGATCCGCATCCCTGGGCGCGGCCCCAACTGCTGCCTGTGCCTGCTCCTCCCTCTGGGGCTGTCGCTGCTCCTGCTGCCTCTCCTGCTCTTCGCGATGGCGCCAGGCTCGACGACGACGACCACGACGACCACGACCACCACCAGGCCGTATATTCCGCCGAGCACGGCGCCGCCCGACACCACCACGACCACCGAGAAGACGACCGCCAGGCCGCCTCCCCCGCCGCCGCCGCCCCCGCCGCCCCCGCCGCCTCCGCCGCCTCCGCCCCCGCAGCCTCCGCCCCCGCGACCCCATGAGAAGAAGATCAACTGCGGCGAGGGCGATGTCGTGTCCTGGGACGTGCCCAAGAAGGTCTACTGCTGCCTGCACGAGGGTAAGGGCTGCCCGACGACGCCGGCGGCGCCCAGCACCATGCCGATGCCTGTGGTGACGACGGCGAGGAGCACCACATCTCCGTGCCCGATTGATTGCAACGCCGGCTACAACGACCTGGACCCGCTGCAGTGGGTCCGCGGCTGGTCCGGCGAGAAGAAGCTGTATTGCTGCAAGACGGCGAACAGGGGTTGCCCTTCGGAACTGCCCCCGCCCTCGGGTCTGCCGCCGTCCAACGCGCCCCCCGAGCCAGACAAGAGCGTCTACGACTGCGACGCGGGCTACCACCACTGCATGCACTGCCTGGTGCTGTCGTGGTCTCCGGCCAAGATCGATTACTGCTGCAAGACCCAGCACAAGGGTTGCAAGGGCGAGGAGCCAGAGTGAGGCGCCCTTTCCGCCCTCCTCCGCCCATGTTGGCACGGCGCGATCTGCTTGTCGCTGCATTTTTTTCTGCCGCGAGCGGTCTCTCGCTCGCGCATTTTTGTCGCTCTGGAGGTCCTGGAGGCGCGGGTGGCTCCACAGGAGGAGGAGGAGGAGGAGGAGGAGGAGGCGGAGGAGGAGGAGGAGAGGAGGAGGACTCCAGAGGAGTGAGGAGGAGGAGGAGGAGGAGGAGAGAGAGGAGGAGGAGGAGGAGGAGGGAGGATGGCTCAGAGGGAGGAGGAGGAGGAGAGGAGGAGGCGGAGGAGGAGGAGGATGGATCCAGAGTGAGGAGGAGGAGAGGGAGGAGGAGGAGGAGCGGATGAGGAGGAGTGAGGAGGAGGAGAGGAGGGAGGAGGGAGGAGGATGGTTCCAGAGGATGGCCCAGCGGAGGAGGAGTAGGAGGAGGAGTAGGAGGAGGAGGATGAGGAGGAGGGCCAGAGCCTTCCATCCGACTCGTGGCCCGGCCCCGCCCCGTGGTCCGCCGCTGGCCTGGCGGGCGGCAAAGGTACGCCCGCCGCGGCCCCGGGGGCAGAGCAGTCGCTGCCCGGCCCGGTCCACGGTCAAGCCTGCCGGGCGGGTGGCACAGTCGGGCAACGATAGGGGGGATGGGCATAGGGGGGGATGCATCGACCCCCAATCGCCCACTGATCGCTGGTAGGGGGCCGAGAGCCCCAACCTGCGCAGGAAGGTGCGGATTCACCATCGGGGGCCTATCGTCGCTCTATCGGCGATGTATCGCCGATTCCAGGTCGATGCATATCCTCCTATGCCAGTCCCTCCCTGCCGTTGCCCCTCATACCTTCTGAAGGTAGAAGATCGACTAGACCTACGAGCGACCTTTCGCCGGAGTGACCTCTTGGCGCGGGCCCAACGGGGTCCCCCGATCGCCCAGCGCGATGCGGCAGTGGCCTGAGTTTCGGCACCTGGCGCCCCCTTTATCCGCGCACTCGAGGTCACTCTTGCCTAGAGTTGCTCTTGCGTGTAGCCGAGAACAAGGGTGTGGTGTGAAGTGGTGCGGTGACACTGCTGAATCCAGCAGTGCTGTCCATCATCGATGGCATTGCCAGTTCCAGGATTGGCACCACACCATTTTTGTGCCACACCCCTTCTCCGACCTCCAGACAGGCATGCTCTCAGAAGTCAGCTCTCAAGAGTCAGCTTTCAAAAGCCCACTCGCAAAAAATAGCGCTATCACACGTCGCGCACGAGCCCGAATAGTCGAACGAACACGGCTACGGGTACGGGTGCTCGTATAAGTGCGGGGGGCAGTGCGGGTACAGGTATGAGAGGGACGCAAGTCTGGTCAAAGGGGGCGCGTATGGTACAGGGATTAGTATCGGTCTGGGCATGTAAGTGGGAGCGAGTGCGGGTGCTGATATCCCTGTGGGTGTGCGTGTGTATGTGTGTAGGTGTGTCTCGCGACTCACCTTTTGTCCAATGCGCATGGTCCAGGCCCGCCATCACACCCGCAGGCAGAGGGGGAATGCACCAGCGCAGCTGGAAAGGAGGGCTGGAAAAGGATGTGGCGCGACCCCCCCTCAACTTGCAGGTTAAGGGCCCTCCCGGGGAAAAAAAATGCACAGAGGGGCCGCCAGGAGGCCCCGGCTGGCCTCAGCAGGCCCCCCGAGCAGTCTGGGGCGGCCCCAGCACCCCACCCCTGGGGCGCGGAGCGTCCCGGGGCAGCTGGAACTACGCGGGGGGGCCTGCTGAGGCCAGGCAGGTCTGCCTGGGGGGCTGCCTGTGCGCAACCCGAAGCCTGACCAGGTTACCCGAAGCGACACCCCTGATCCTGTCACCTCCCGACCTTCCCTCTGATCCGAGCGGCTGTCGCGCCATAACTCGAACCCGCGGCGGACACCCTCGGAGCGCCCGCGACGAGGCGGAGCTGATGAAAGCCACTCAGGGCCTGGAAAACTGTCGAAAACGTTTGAACACGTTGCCCCCTGAGCCAATTCCCCCCGAGCCTTGAGCATCCGAATTATCCGGGATAGGCCTGGTCAGGAGAGGGAGCTGTTTGGTTTGGTGTTCCCAAGTGCGATATAGACAATGGATCCGCTTGATCCGAAACAGCTCCTGTTTCGCGAGAGTACTGGACAACATCTACATGTGTTCACAGCAATACCCGCACCTGTATATTTTCATGCCCACAGCCATGCCCGTGCCAAGAGCGCTATCACACGTCGTCTGTAGCCATTCTGGCTCCAGGCTATCGTTGGCTCAGGCACTCTTGGTTTGTGCATACTCCAAGAGACGTCTCCGCGCGGCGCCATGTCCTTCCGCTACGGGGGACACGGCGGAGGCCTCGGTGGGGGCCTCGGCCGGGGCTACGGGGCGTACGGCGCCAGCGGTGCGTACGGCGCTGCTGGCCCTTACGGCGCCGGCGCCAGCGGTGCGTACGGCGCTGCCGGCCCTTACGGCGCCGGCGCCGGCGGCGCGTATGGTGCCGGCGGCGCGGACTGTGCGACCGCATGCTGCGCCAGCACCAGCGCCTGCATGGGCTGCGGCCCCGCCTGCGGCGTGGCCTGCGCCGAGGGTTCCGGCTGCGGCGCCGGCGGCAGCACGATTCTTAGCTACGTCGGCGCGGGGGGCGACTACGTCCAGGAGACCACCTACCGGTACGTGGGCATGGGCGCGGGCGAGTTCGGCGTGGTGCGCATCCCAGGGCGCGGCCCGAGCTGCTGCCTGCTCGTGATCCCCCTGGGGCTGTGTCTGCTTCTGCTGCCTCTCCTGCTGTTCGCGCTGGCGCCGGGCTCGACGACGACGACGACGACCACCACCACCACCACCACGCCGTTTATTCCGCCGAGCACGGCGCCGCCCGACACCACCACCACAACCAAGAAGACGACCACCAAGCCGCCGCCCCCGCCCCCGCCGCCCCCCCCGCCGCCCCCCCCGCCGCCCCCGCCGCCCCCGCCGCCTCCGCCCCCGCCGACCACTGAGAAGAAGATCAACTGCGGCGAGGGCGATGTCGTGTCCTGGGACGTGCCCAAGAAGGTCTACTGCTGCCTGCACGAGGGTAAGGGCTGCCCGACGACGCCGGCGGCGCCCAGCACCATGCCGATGCCAGTGGTGACGACGGCGAGGAGCACCACATCTCCGTGCCCGATTGATTGTAACGCCGGCTACAACGACCTGGACCCGCTGCAGTGGGTCCGCGGCTGGTCCGGCGAGAAGAAGCTGTATTGCTGCAAGACGGCGAACAGGGGTTGCCCTTCGGAATTGCCCCCGCCCTCGGGCCTGCCGCCGTCCAACGCGCCCCCCGAGCCAGACAAGAGCGTCTACGACTGCGACGCGGGCTACCACCACTGCATGCACTGCCTGGTGCTGTCGTGGTCTCCGGCCAAGATCGATCACTGCTGCAAGACCCAGCACAAAGGTTGCAGGGGCGAGGAGCCAGAGTGAGGCGCCTTTTCCGCCCTCCTCCGCCCATGTTGGCACGGCGCGATCTGCTTGTCGTTGTGTTTTTTTCTGCCGCGAGCGGTCTCTCGCTCGCGCATTGTTGTCGCTCTGGAGGTCCCGGAGGCGCGGGTGGCTCCAGAGGAGGAGGAGGAGGAGGAGGAAGAGGAGGAGGAGGAGGAGG